ATCGTAATCGGTCATAACTTATTACTTTTCGTTAATATGCGAGGTTGATGGGTGGAGTTGCGAGGATAGTCGGAAATATGATGATGATAGATACGGGGGCGAGCGGGAGTCCAGCGAAAGGACTCGGGAGGAGGCGAAGGTGGGGTCGCCGTGAGAATGGAAGGCGAACGGGCTATAACCGCTCTAGGAATCAAAACCAGCCTCCATTCTCCCACCCTCCAGGCCGGTAGGTAGCATGACGGCGGATCATCTCGTCTTCCACTCCATTGATAAGCACATTAAGGCGGTTGAAATTGATAGGTTTCATGATCCATCCGTCGAAGCCAGCACCGACATATAAAGGCATGTCCTTTTCGAGGAGAGAAGCAGACACCGCGAAAACGGGGACTCGTTCGTTGGCTTGAGCGGTCGGAGAGAGCGCACAGCTCGGCTCCTTCTCGATCTGGCGGATCATCTTGGTGGAATTGATTCCATCAACAATCGGCATCTGATGGGTAGAAAAAAACAACGTTAGGTTTATGTAGGAAGTTCGGAAAAGAGTCATTACTCACCTGGATGTCCATTAACACCAGGTCATAACGCGCGGGATCAGCACGGAAGGCAGCCGCGCATTCTTCGCCGTTGATGGTCAGGTGAACAGAGTGACCGGCCTTGCCGAGTCTCTTTTGTATTATCTTGCCATTGATAGGGTCGTCTTCCGCCACGAGAATACTGTAGATGCCGGGAGGGGTTTTGGGCTTAGAATCCTGACGAGTCGTTCGATTCTCGGACGGTTGCGTAGAGGGAGACTTTGTATTTGGCTGTACTGAGTCTGCAGCATCATCTGCTAATTCGGTTTGAGACAGTTTGGAAAGCTCTCGGATAGACACGTTAGCAAGCTTATCTTTGAGGCTTTCGATTGGAATTTGGCTAGGGTGTGATTTGTCAGTGCTACCAGCTCGAGAACTGTCGTCGCTGCGTCGTCGGTCCTCGTGAGGAGGGGTTGAGCTGTTATCTACAAGCACAAACTCTTCCTTCGTCTGGAAGGGCGTCGGGCTATCGGCATGAGCTGGAATATCGACCGGGTCCAACTCAGGTTGCTCATCATTTGCAGTCACGAACTGGAGCGAGATTTGGAAGCGGCTTCCTTTGCCTTCTTCAGACCGGACACTGAGCTGACCGTGAGTGTTGCGAACAATTCGCGACACGAGCGCCAGTCCCAGTCCTAGAACGCCTTTCTCCTCCCCTTCCGTTCTTTCACCATTCGAGGAGTTGGGGTCACGATCGAAGAAATAGGTGTCGTCGTCCTTATATGAAACCTGCTCGAGCTCTTGAAACAATGTTTCGAGCATGGTATCGGACATTCCGCATCCCGTATCAAGAACCGTCATCTGGATGGTGACAACACCGGGCTCCGGGGTGACAGGGGCCCGCCAAAACTCCACAGTAATCTCGCCCTCCGTCGTATACTGAACTGCATTGGAGATAAGGTTGCTGATCGCCTGTCGCACGCGCCGTTCGTCGCCCAGAACAGTTCGAGGGATACCCGGATGGGTGAGCACCGTAAATTTGACGCCTTTGCGTTTCGCCTCTCCTTCAAACATGGCCGTTGCCTCTTTAAAGGTTAGAGGTAAATCGAAAGCCTCGTCTTTAATCAGGTTCTGGCCCTTCTCAGTGTTGGTGAGATCCAGAAGATCATTGATGACGTAGATGAGAGATTTGGAGGCGGAATATGATTTGGTAAGATTATCGCGAGTCTCGTGATCGAGAACGCCTTCTAGTGCAATCTCGAGGTAATTGATGATGGCGTTCAAAGGTGTCCGAACCTCATGGGCCGAATTGGCCAGCAAGAGCTTGGTCAGCTGGGATCCCTCTAGAGCCGCTTCTTGCTGTCGCCAGACCTTGATGAATTTACCATAGACGAGGCAGAGAACAGCTGCCGTTTCAACCTCCGATTCAGACCACTCACGAGACTGGTCGATGACTGTCTCGCTCCAGACCTGAAAACTCTTTCGAGGCTCTAAATGACCATCTTTAACCTCCTTCTCATGAGGGTTACCGCCCCATTTGATCTCCGTCAGCTGGCCCCGACGGAAGAAAACTATGAAGTCCGTGCCATCTGAAGACAAGGGCACATAAAGCATTCCCGAAATATGTTTGAAGCCTGGAGGATAGTGCAGATCGGGAAAGTCTTTCGTCACGTGATGTGATGCAACCACTGATTTGAGCTGACGCATTTTGAGGAACTCCAATAATGCCAGCATCTCCTGGGATTCGGTGGATTTGCCTAGAATCTTGGTCTCACAACGAATGGAGATTGCCCCATAGTCCGCATCGAACAATCGTAGCATGTCATCCGACGAGGCGATGATGTAGCCCGAAGGATTTGCATCGGTCGGAATAGTGTTGATCAGCTTGCGAGCCTGTAACCGTGAGGTGTAGGAAAGACGCTCAATGTTGCGCGAAAGGGTGTCACCGATCAATCGACACATCTTCCGGATTGGAAACGGCACTCTCATACCCGCGTCGCCGTAAGTATGGCATGAGATGAGACCCCAAAGATCATGGGGGTTGTTAATACTGATGGACATGGACGAACGCACACCCATATTAGCCAGGTACCGGATATGAATTGGCGACATTGCTCGTAGATGAGCGTGGGTTAGATCCAGAGGGGTCTGCAAGTCCTGCAGACTGCGGCAAACTAGTCGTGAAGTGATCTGATCCCGATCGTATAGCAATCGAACCTTATTTATACGGTACAGTTCTCGGGCTTGCCTCGGAATATCCGCTGCGGGAAAGTGCAGCCCTTTATAAATGTCTTTCGTGGTTCGCATGTCAACCAACTCAGCCACCACGGTCCCATTGAATTCGCTGTCAAATTGGTAGATCATCACACGATGAAAACCGGTCAGCTCTTTTACCAAGCCCACGGTAATGTTGAGCAGTGAGTCGAGGGTCTTGGCATCTCCCAATTGATCCTGGATTTGGCTAACAATGCTGAAAACTTCCATAGCAGCCGCTTCACCGCGCCGCCTGCGTGCATTCCGAAGGACTCGCAAAGGTTGGCTAATGTTGACAGTGCTGCTTGCCAGTTGCTCCGGGGTGGGCTCAAATCCAAGGGTATCGGTTTGGGTGGTGGGCGTTGAGCGCCCGGCCATATTCGGAGGATTGATTCGATCATCTTCCAACTCAAATTCGCAGATGATGAGATCCCGTTGAGCGGGGATTGCATGAATAGCGCACCAGAAGCGCCGAGCGCGACCGTTCCGATCGTTTATTGAAAGAATGAAAACCTCTGGCCCGTCCGCCCCGGGATCGTGGACTTCATCGCGGACAAAGTCGACGTGGTCAAGAAGGATGTCCGCTTGGTCCTCCTGCAGGATATCGCAGAAGCTCTCCAGGGCAAACAGACTACTGGGTGAGTAACCTAAGATGGCCTCCGAATTCTCACTGGCGATGTGGACCGATAGCAGGCCGTCATCGTCTTCTCGCATCGCGAGAAGGACTCCGAAACTTTGTATCGCACCTGGAATGTGAATCGGTTCGTCCTCGCAAGCCATGAACGTATCGGGGGTGTTGCCGGTGATCACGGCGTGTCCACCTCCGGTGACGACATGCTGGAACCGGGAGGTGATGTGCGTCTTGCTCTTGTCCACCGCTAGCACCGACCCGTCCGAATCGGCGGGCACCCAAATCCCAGCGTCCGAGTTGCGTGAATGACCTTCGGACGGCTCATGAGAGGCGCATTCGGAAGTTCCGGGCGTAAACAGGGGTTCGTTACTGCTGGCGGCAGTATCGCTAGGTGGAGTAAGGACCGGCTGTGTGCGCAGTTGATCCCAAGTATCGGAATCGATGATGGAGTAAGATCGGGCTCCGCATCGAGGCAGCGTGGAACCGGTCGCTGCAACGGGTTGAGACGGACTGGTTGGGGAGGGGTTGACGGACACGATCGATCGGATGGGGTAGACTCTGTCTGAGCCGCCGACGCTCGTATCACGACCCAGATCGGAAGTTTCTGGGCTCAAATCCGATGAGCCCTCGTGGGTATTGACAGCTAAGTCCGTAGGCGAATCGTCTTCTGGTAATTGACCGGACATAGCGGTAGGATCGAAGTTGGAGGCCATCGTCGTAGGCGTGAGGAGAGGATGGCCTTGGGGTTGATATAAAAGATTGCCACCAGAATTCTCAGCACATTGATGGGTGATATCCACACTCTTACATCAGTGAGCGGCGCAATCAAGTGTCCAAGATGATGGGTCTTCCTCAGGCGTGCAATGAAATCACGGTGGTCCGATAATGCACAGATCGGGTCCTGACAGCCGGGACAGTGAAAATAATGAAAGTCTTGTTTCCGAATTGACCAAGCCCCAAACGCCACAAGGGCTGGGGAGGAGGGAAAGCAAGTGCTGACACACAAGGGGGGATTGAGGGGAGGGGGCAACGGGGGGGAGGGTTTCCCGTTTCTTCACGTGGGGCTGATACTGTACTGGAGACAACTAAATTAGAGATGTGAATCCGTCTGTGGCAACCCCCGGGACGCAAGCGAACGGTAACCGATTGGCACGGATAATATAGAAAGAGGATGGTGGCAGCCCACGACAGCTAGGCTACAGCACCCAACGACGTGGTAGGAGGCGAAGAGGCAAGTAGAAGGGAGGGGGGGGGGGG